AACAATGTCAAAGGAATAAAAATGTGTAGGAAAGACATTTGAGTAGGTAGATGCTCCTAGTTACTTGATCAATTTGCAAATAATCCTTGCTATTTTCAAACAAATACACACACATTTAAAAACATTTCCAAACAATTTTCAAAACCATTGAAACATTTTTCAAAAGACAAACATCTTTGTATACATTCTTACGAACGAGAATCATTACAAAGATTGCCAAAACAAAGGCCTCTTTTAAAATTACTTTCAAAACCACACAAAGCACCATTTCAAACAATTGCAAAAGCAAAGCAAGTGATCTAAACAAGTAACTAAGAGCCCATGTAAAACCATGGATGAAAAGGGTGCTAGTACCTTCCCTTTTCATAATCTACCCCCTGAACTCAAGAAAACATCTCAAAGGTCTTTCCTGTGCTTTTTTACCTTTCCTTTTGGATAAAATAAAAGTCGGTGGCGACTCTTTCTAACCGCGACATTTGCGAACACAAACGCAAAACCTCAAGTCAGTTCTCCCACCGTATCACACTCTTGCTCCAACAATGCTCAAATACCTACAAAATGAATACAAAACTATCAAACGATACACTATGTACATGAAAAAATAAATATATACAAACTAAACAAATTTACATAAAAGTTGGGTTTATTCAACCGATATTAACCATGAAGAGTCTATAAGTGCAACAAAAAGCATATACAAAAATAGCTACAATTTGGACTTATCACCCAAGTAGATGTATCCGCTGACAGATCAGCAAGAGATCAGTGGCATGGTCATCCTCAGTCTACTGGTTCTCCAAGAGATCCCCATGAGCTGGCCTAGGTGGACGTCCAGGACCATCTACTGTCATGATAGGGTGTGACACGTTAAATAACCATATCTCGTAACCCCCAGCATAATGCCAACTCTGGGATGCCGACGTCATCCGATACTCCCGTGGCACCAAATGATTCTCCTAATCCTAGAAGATGCCATCAAGATCCCGCCTGACAATGGCGTCATCCCCCTTATTCTCGGCCGCTGCTATTGCAACCAGGTGCTCCTCATATAGATCCTTCGGGTGCGAGAATTTTACATGTGAACTATTAGTGGTTCTGCAATCATCAACAACCCTGTATGGATCAGCACCCAGATACTCGACCATCCATTTGATTACCTCAACTCATGGTATTTTGTGATGGTTGAGTAACCTCCCTCTGATAGATAAGTGGATCAAGCAAGCAACGTCAACAAGTGTGATCGTCATCTCCCCAACAGGAAAGTTGAAAGATGACGTCTCCTTGTGCCACCTCTCTGCAAATGCCCCATGCATGTTGTGGCTTATAGTTGAGTAACCAGTACAACATAATCTGGCAAGTTCGGATCCAACAACAGCCTCATGGAACCAAGCCGCCCTAGACACGAACAATTCAAATATTTTCTGTGAATGGTTCACGGACTTAATCGGCAACCGTTCTTGTAAAAAAAAGAGAAAAAAATGCAATTGTTCCATTAAAATATAATTTGTCAGTAAAACTTTAAAATGAAAAAGTGCAACAAGAAATATACCTCTCCATCCCAAACATGCCGAGCGGCATGATCATGATAATAGATCAACAAGGAGGTGTCATAAGACCCTCCTGGATAGCCGACGTTCTCCTCCTCGGGTACCTTAACATGCTCGGGTACCTCATCCCCCTCGGGTACCACAAACTCCTCAAGAATTTTCTCTTCACCGAGTACCTGCTCATGCTCTCGAGAGGTGAACGCCTGAGACAGCCGACTCCTCGGTGCAGAAGAAGAAAAAGAAGAAGCTCCAGGAAAATTCTCCCGTTGTGCCCGACCCCTTCCTCGAGGCCTGATAACCTGATGTGCAGCTCTCTTTTGCCGAGCAGAGGCAGTCTGGCTTAGTCTCCCTTGTCTCAAACAATTTTTTTTGTCCAGGTTGTCTGCCATATTACTGAAAAATTAATTTAAATTATTAATTAAAAAATAACTCAGGCAAGAATTTGGATGTGCACATCTGAAACTGGTCCAGGGGGATTTCGAATGTGCACTTCGGAAACTACCTGCGAACAACCATTATCAACTAACAGTTTCTTCTTGCCCTAAATCATCCTAATACCATTTTTATGTCACCCAAACACCAAAATTAAACTATTCTAACAGCAATCTACACAATATCATTGATTCTAACTAACCTAATAAACTATTATAACATTGTATGGTGAATCAAATAGAAATGGAGTGGAAAAAACTTACGCAAACTTGAAGTTTTCGGGATGAGTTGGAATGACTTGATTAGAGCTGAAATGGGGAGATTAGTAGAAATGAATTTGCGGAACAAAGTTTGGGTAGTAGAAATGGTGGGTTTTGGTGTAGAAAAGTTAAGGTTTTGTGTTTGAATGAAAGGGTTATGTTTTGTTCGTTGTTTTGAAAACAACAAGGGTGACTTCGGAGATGCATCTCCAAAGTCATATTTTTTGACAAAATAAAATGACTTCGGAGATGCATATGCGAACACATCAGTTTTTATCAAATATGGTGTTTTTGAATGTACATCTCCGAAGTCTGAAAATATTTAAGAAATTTCGCCATAGATCTGAAAGAAGTACACTAAATGTACAAAGAAATTTTCATTTTTCACATATTGTCTCTTCTTTTTAATTTCTCTACTTGACCTGTGAAGTTGCCGTTATCTACAAGAGCATGAGAAAGAAAAACTAATAATGATAAGACCTAATAAATAAAAACTAGTTTCTACTAGACTAATTTAGAATGAGGTCATAATATTTAATCGAAAAATTATTTATAAATCTTTTTGACAATGTAGGGATCAACTCTAAAAAAACAATTAAAGTGTACCATCAAAGATATTGTGATTCCCCTCCAAAACTTGATGAGTTAAACTAACTACTTATATACAGATATACTAATAAAGATGGTTTTTAAGCAGATATACTAATAAAGATGGTTTTTAAGTGACGGAACGGGGTGGAATGGATACAGATAATTTGAAGAACAAAATTAAAATTAAAATTGTGTTATTAATTTATTTTATTCTATTAGATACATTCTAATTAGATGGATGGAAAATAAATTAAAATAATAGTATTTGATGAAATGAGTTTCTCACATTCTATTTCATTTCATTTTTTTTAAAACCAAACAATAAAAAATAACGTGATTTCGTTCCATTCTATTTTATTTCATCATTTTCATAAATCCAAACATAATTTTTAAAAATTATAATATAAATAATAAAATAATTATTTTACTGTTTTTGGTAGCTTTTATTGAGATTAATTTCAATATATCACTGAATTAAAAATATATACATAGATTCAATCAAATTATCTTATAATATCATTTTTTTTAAATTATGTCTATAATTTAAAACATTTTTTTGTTTATATTTATATATTTAACAAATTCAAATAAAATAGTATTGTATTTGAAATAAATAATTTGATTAATTGGCTTTTTACTATTTATTGTAGGTGAAAAAAGAAAAAGGATTAGAATCAAGATCTAAGTGCGCATTATTAAACATTATCATTTTCAGCCCAGCCCAAAATCGTTTTGAACAAAAAATAAAACCAAAAAATTGCAAAAGAATAAAAAATGTCAGAAGTGGGATTTGAACCCACGCCCTCTTTCGAAGACCAGAACTTGAGTCTGGCGCCTTAGACCACTCGGCCATCCTGACATTTGATGTTAGTGTTTCAAATCATAGATTTCAAATCTTCTTACCTTCCTGATTCCGTTTAAACAACTTGTTCTATTAAAAGATGTTTTAGATTTTTTATGTTCAGTAACATACTATACTAAAGTTGCAATATTGCATGATTCTGAAAAATCAACTCACCTCTAAAGATTGAAACTTGAGGGGCAGGTAAGAAGGGGAAGGACTAAGATCTTTTCTTTATGTAGTCAATTTGTTTTATCATTTTATCAAAAAACGAGATGAATTTATTTATTTCTCATGTATTCGAGAAGCTGAATGAACCGTATTAACTAATTAATATTTTATCCATTGCAAAATAATTTTTTTATTTGTATAAAGTATTAGTTTTTTAATATGAAAGAATAAGTATTTTATACAATTAGTAGGATAAAGCAACCAAAGCTGTATAAAATATTTGTTCTAAATATAATTGATCTTTTCAATTACTTTACAATTTTATCATCTTAATAATACCTACAGCTGTCTCAATTTAACATTTTTCACTTCATTTTTTTTTTTGTGATTGTACTTTATATTTAAAATAAATAGGAATAGAATTACACAAGTCAAGAATACTTTAATAAAATTATTATTCTTTCATTGACCGAAAAAAGTATTATTCTTTATTGTTTATATATTTCATATTATGTATGAACTAGTCAACTATATCGTGAAAAATCTAACTACATGCATCCAAAAGCCACAGGGTCCACCAGAAAGAAAATTCAAAAGCTACTCCAAAGACTACCAGATACATTAAAAAAGGTAATAAATTCCTACAAGAAACAACAAAATAAAGAGCATGTGATGTCAAATGGTGGTTGCCAGTAGGTGACAAATTAAATAGTGAGATCTTGCTACAATGTTTTAATAACTATCGTCTTCTTGATAGAAAGATGTTTGACCTCACACATGAGGGTTTAATTTGAAAAATAATACAACACTATGATCAAGCCAAAAATTATATATTAGCTTCGAAAATTCGGCGACAATCGAAGCCATATTAGTTTTAAACCCAATAAATAGATAGAAACTAAGAAACATTACTATTGTGCGTCACATATTTTATGAGTGACCAAGTTGTTTTCTTTTCTAGTATTTTACATCAATAGATAGAGATACTCAAGACATCAACTTCGGTGGAAGATCATAATACTGTTACAAATGCCAATGTTCTTCTTCGGTATGTAAATTTTCATATACACTACACCCCATTACACTATGACATAATACACTCCAATTTTAGAATACACTTAACTCAACATAGATTGAGATCCTACAGCATCGTGTTATTCACGAGCAGTTTGTGTCATAACTTACAAGTCCAAGCAACTCTGGACCTTCCAATCGAGGGTTATTCTCAAAGCTACAACAACACAGAACAATGTTGGTCAGTACAAGTAATGTGAAGGAAAGAACACATCCAGCTAGCAAGCTCCTAAATGTTTCAGAATCAAAGCACCCAAATAATGCAGTAATAGCAACTACGTATGACTAACAGTATCAGACGATAAAATGCAATTTGACTGTCGCAACAGGGCAGTATATGCGTAGCATTTGGCGGAAGGAGAGGTCTAATTAAATCAAATACTACAGCCAGAGTTTTACTAAATTTCATGAATAGAATACAATCAAACTAAAAGCAAGATACCTACAACATCTCGATCCCTAAGCAATTACAATAACAAGATCAAGATACCTATAACATCTCAATCACTAAGCAATTATAATAACAAGAAGTAGATATAACAGCATGCACACACATGAGTTCTTATTACGCCCCGCCCCAAGACAAACAAAGATAAAGGAAAACTGACATTAAAAACAGGTGCAAGAGAGAAGATAAAGAGAGTCTAGCATCAGCCAGCAAAAAAAAATGATACTTAGAAAATATGAAGAAAACTTACGCTAAGAGCTAAAGTAGATAAGAAACATAAAGAATTTTGGAACCTACTTATTCAATGGAATATGCTCGAATGGCCCAGAGGTAGGAATTGTACCACATAAGTTATTGGTGGAGACATCCCTGAAGATAAAGCGAATGTTTAGGCTCTTTGAAAGTACACATATTCACTTTATTTTTATCAAAATCAACATAGAAAGACAAATGTGACTTACACTACTTTAAGGCTTGAAATAGCAATGAGTTCCCTAGGAATTGGGCCAGTTAGTAGGTTATCATTAAGTCGCCTGAAAAAAATATATATAAGAACCATGCAAATACTGAATAATTTAATAATTTATGATAAAAAACGATAATCAAAAGCTTCATCAGTGAGCAATGTGGTAAGTTATGCCACAGATTGAAAGACTAACAGCTTTGAACACTTCAAAACAGAATTACTACAAGCCACACACTAAGCTATATATAAAATAAAGGCTCTTAGGGAGGAAAAATTGGATAAAAGAAACTGAACACCTAAAGGAGCATATGGTTTTCATAGAGTTGGATCCACTATGGATCTATTGTAGGCAACCTCAGAAAGAGACTGATTCTACCATTCAAGTCCATAACCTCTAAGTCACACTGCAGCAACTCTAACCTTTGCATCAAATTTCCTCTTTATTTAGGAGGCAGTGAGTGTGTAAATTTTGGTTGCAATTCATTTTAGCATATCCAGCCATGATTCAGCAGTCTTACTATCAAACATATACCCTCAAGCTCATAACATAAACAACATGCCTTGAACCCACAATCATCAACACCAAAACTTTATATTAAAAGCACGAATAAAAAACTCAAGTCTACAGCAAGTTTTAATCACAGGTTGCTGAATTTTTCAGCAACAATCAAAGCCTCGTAAGCAACTGATGTGAAGGGAAATTAAATGACATGGCACAGTCTTTTCATGCCTAAAGAGCATAACAATGAAATATATTAATCAGCCTTACAAAAAGACGAGATTCTTCAATTTCCCCAATGAAGGTGGGATGGTTCCCGACATGTTGTTGTTATACAAGTCCAAGCTAACAAGACTCTTCAGGTTTCCAAGCTCTGGAGGAATAGTTCCTTGAATGTTATTTTTGTATAGCTCACTACATCGAACAAAAAGAGTCACAGTTAAAGCCAACAAATATGAAAAATTCGCAAAACAGAACCACAACAAAGTGTTAATACATGGATTCGCAATTAACATACTTGGAGTCGGAATATTAGCATGGAATATTAAGAATTAGATAAAATAACATACAGGTACTGCAGATGCTCTAGCTTCCCGAGTTCAGGTACCAACTGTCCAGATAGGTTAGAATTACCAAGATCCCTGTACAAGTATCATAAAATGAAATACCATTAATTGATTTCATTGTTCCAATGTGTATAGAATGCACTATATTCATAAGTATAATCTCTTGCCCAGAAAATCAAACAAACTGCAAAAAAACACTATCTAAAGTAAATTACAAACAATGGCATCTAAAGTAAATTACATCAGTTTTCCAGAAATAACAATATGGTTTACAACATTAAGAACTCAAGCATTAAACAGGGGAGGGGGAGTATTATTTTTTTTGTACAAAAGAAACATCTGATATAAAAATAATTACATCGAATCATTACAGAGTGAAGTGTATTGCTTGTTTCATTAAAAACAAATCAATAATTCCAACATGAATGAGTCAAATCTCAAACTACAAAAACCCTCAATTTCCTAAAGCAATGGACAAATTTTGGAAAAAAAAACATTAACCCGAGTACCATGGAGAACTTAAATTAATCAATTTTCACTGATCACAAACATAGCTTCCGAAATATAACTATTGACACTCTAAAAATAGCAACAAACTAAAAATAACATAAAATAATCATAAAATACAAACAACCCACAAACAAATTTCAGAATAATTTCCCTCAAAACCCAAACATAACAGGCCAAAAACTGAAAAAATTTCAACTTTTTATCAAAATTTGAAGTGACTAGTACTGATTAATCACAAAACCAAAATAATAAATCAGAAAAAGTGAGAGAGAGAGAGAGAGAGAGAGAGAGAGAGAGAGAGAGAGAGAGAGAGAGAGAGAGAGAGAGAGAATACACTCGAGTGACCCGATTGTCTTGGTTACAGGTGACATGGAACCAAGTACAAGGACTGACTAGGGTCGGATCCCAGCTCTGGAGGATGTTATCAGGGTCGGTGAGGCTTCGTTTGAGTGTGTAAAGAGCGTCTCCTTCAGAATTAGCATGAATTAGGGTTAGGGTTAGGGTTAGGATTAGGGGAATTCCGAAAAGGGAAAGTGAAGTGAAGATTTGTGCCATCTTCTTCTTCACTGATCTGAGGTTTGTTGATCGAATTGAAGAGAAAACGCGTGTTAGGGTTCAGAGAGAGAGAGAGAGAGAGAGAGAGAGAGAGAGAGAGGGAAATGGGAAATGGGAAATGGAAAATGGATGCTTTTCAAAGAGAGTATCGGTTTTGGGAATAACAGAGCAGTAAAACATGATAATGGAGTTCACTTTTGGTTTATTGTTTGTTTATTGGTAATGGAATTTGGTTATTGGTTAGGTAAGAATATTTATTTCATTTTTTAACATTTTCGAAAAAGTCTAGCAATGAAATTCTCATTCACATGAAAATGAGGATAGTTTAAGTATGTATGCCCTTTAGAATCTATAAGAAAATAAAAATTGTTTTGGTGAAACTCGGAAATTTTGTAGTTGTGGTGAGACTCGATCGATATTTAGTGAGTAGATTTTGATTCTTCTTGTCGGTTTTTGAATTTAATGTAATCATCTCGACTATAGTTTATTTATGTGAATCTAAGTTTTTTCTCTTATTTTGTAGTAAGTATGTCTGAGATTTGAAGCTGAAAACTACATGAAAGATTTCTTAAAGGTTGTTGTCATCGTTTTCACAGTTTATGTGATCTATAACTTTCATATACTACAAAATGATAAATTAAAGTTCAATGTGTTTGTATACTACAGTTTATGTAATCAATCAAAGGTCACAAAAAATATACAAATTAAATTATTATTTGTATCTTCTCGCTACACAAACAAACCTAAAAAACCTTAACTCCTTTCAATCTTCTTCCCAAGTTGCATAATTATGCCATCACCCCGAGGTTCAATTCATTCATATGCAAAACTATTCTTTTTCTTTTGTTTTCAAAAGCATGTCAATTAACTAATGTTGGTTTTCTTTGACACAACGCTCACAGGGTTCTACTTCGACAAAGAGAAGAACCATTATTTCTCAATCAAAAATCTCATTTCCGATCAGGTATTACGATAATTTCTCAATTCCATAACAATTATAATGTTTGATTGAATTCAGTTGAATTGAATTGAATTTCGGAACGGTTCTAGTATTTTATTGATTTTAGTTTCAAGAAAAGAATAAAGGTTCTTGTGGGAAGATTTGTAACCGAACGTCGAAGTTGCTTCAGATTAGGGAGTTGGGTAGATGTCATGTTATGGCTGAGTTGTATTTCTGTTATGGCAATTAGTTAGTTGTTTGCTTAGAGGGTGAGAAATGGTTAAGTTAGTTAGTATGAGCTGGAAGTAGTTGGAGATCGTTAGTTATGCTTGAGAAGAATTATATTATAACAGGTTAAAAATAGTTAGTGTTGGTTATGAACTGACTTGAATTGGTTAGAAGTTAGTTGACTCACTGAGTCAATTTGGTTAATGGTGAAGAATTCAATTATGACAGTTATAGGGAAGTTAGAAGTTTAAAAAAAATCTGTTAGAAACAATTAGTTGGCTAAAAAAAAATTTGTTACATATGCTGGAATTTCTAAATTCAATTTCTGATTTTTGTTCTCTTTTATTTGATCAGTCTAATTTTCTGATACTTTTACTAATAAAAACTTATGCAGGGTAGTATTATTGTTTTTTATTTTCTGAACTGTAATGTCAATTAGTTTTCTGCTTTGAACAAGACTGCCCATTTGTTGATGAAAATTTCTGGACTGATGCAAAATTAGTCATGTATGCAGGGCAATGTGAATTTGGGAAACAGGTCATTGGAAAATTGTTTTGGATCTCCGAAAAATATGTTATGGTTGTTAGCAAGGTTGGGTAAATTTTTTAACAATTAGTTTTGGAATTTTGTTGAATTAGTTAAGGGTTATTGTTTGAATGAGCTGGCAGGTGTTGAACTAGCATGTTGCAGCTTGTGTTTGGATGAAATTTTTTACTTTCCTACTTTAATAACTCTGCTACGATTTTATATTTCTTCTGTCTTTTCCAACAGGTGCGGGGCTATTCTAGACATGATGTTGGTAGATGGCCTTAGACTTAGTTTCGAAGGGGTTATTTAAAGTCAAGATAGTTTAGAGGTCATGAGACAAGAGGTCTGTTTATTCCACCGGGAACTGCTGTTGTTTCAGACCTGTCCTCCAATTTCATGAACTCAAGCCACATAGGCAAGCTAACGGAACCTCTCAACTGATGGTTTGCTGCCTTCCGATCCTCCACGATAGTAGACTGCCCTCCATAAATCATTTCAAACAAAGCATTGTCTTCTTTACATTTATTAGTAATGCGCAAAATTGATGTGTCCTAATTTTCTTCTGATAGCGTAAGCAGCTAGGGTAAACACTCTGTTGTGAATCTGATTTTGATTTCAGTTAGCAGTTTGTTTTTTTTGAGAAAACTTGTACTCCATTTGCACTCATCTTCTTGTCTTTGTCTTGATCAAACCCCAAACTGTTTTAAAACTGTAAGCAGGCCGCCCACTGAAGAATAATGCAGAGCGATTTATGGTGCAGTTTTTTTTACTCTGGATTTTCTGATGAACTTGGTTTTTTTTGGATAATATGCAGGCAATAATTTGAAGAATGCAGTAGGCTGGTTCTTTTAGGGCATAAGGGAGAGAATGGTTTAGAAGATTCGTACATTTTGGTGTAATCCATGATGAACTATCTTTATGCAAGCTAGGATTGGCCCTCAAAAGAAGCGTGAACTTGAAGCCCACTAGCAAGGCATGGCTGAAAGGTAAAATTGCAAGGCATTCGGCGTGAAGCTTAGTTAAACATTGGAACATGGAGAATGATTGAGATTAGGATAGACTTTGTCAGGTTTAGGTTTTCTTGTAGCTTTAAATGAATTTGAATATATCTTGTAATTGGAATGTGTAATGGCCACGTATAGAATTTGTACGGATTTTGAATGTAATTTCGAGCAAGAATGGTGTATGATATTTGAAATTGAAATGGACCAAGAGGAATTTAAATAAACTTGGATGCCTTGAACATTCATATTATGATTAAGCCTTTGGGGAATTCTTGAATAATCCTATATACATTCTCCATATTTCTATAGTCTTTGAATTCAAAAGTGAATTTACCTCCATTATGTTTCCTTTGAATTTCATTCTAACTTGAAAGTTGAAACTGTGAATGAATCTTACCATATTGAGAGAACTAAAATCAAACTTGAGTCCATCCTTCTCAAAGCTTAGAACCAATCATATGAACATGAATCCTCGAAGATGATTTTAGAATCACAGATGTTTTAATGAAATGATCAAGTGCTGGTTATGATGGATGAGGTGAAGATGATTATGGGGGGGTTAAAGACATAAAGAATTGACTAAATTGTCAAGTATCCCATATCTCGAACAATTCATGAACCATGAACCGACTCTTTATAAATGCAACAATTCTTTAAGCTTCTTGATTCAAATCACAAACCTTAACCAAACTGTATGAAGATGAAGATAGGTCTTTGTAAAACCCTACTCATGAAAAGCCATCTGATTATGAAGCCTACAGGAAAATACACCCTGATGCCAGAAATCCATCTGATTAATCTCATAGGGAAATAAACCCTAATAACCTTGATTGTGATGACTCTTGATGGAGAATAATCCCATGACTTGCTTGAGGAAGAATTCCATGACAAACATAAACTCACGGGCCTAAATCCACAATCCCTGCTTGAAGAAAGAACCAGAATAATCATAATTATCTAGTGTACACACCTTAAAACTAATAGAAACCCTGTTTGCTTGACCACTGAGCTTTGAACCTCGTGGTACTTTATTAAATGAAAATACATGCTATGTTAAAGACCTAATGGAAAGATGAATGTAATGCTAAGCTTAAGCCATATAAGATCAAAATTAGGAGGGCGAATTTTGGGGTGCAATAGTTGCCCCTATTTAATCGTCTTAAACCTGAAGGTGAGTTTGGTGCCAGCCTTTCGAACTTTCAAGGTGGAAGAAGATTAAATACTAAAAGAACCCGAAAATTTGCGCTCCGAAGCCAGTCAAGTATTATTATATTTTTGGTTTTCTGTATTTTCTTCTTTTTCTTTTTTTGGGAAAAAGGGGTTATCGGGGATAAATGTATGTCAAACCAGGGTTAGACACACAGAAGAGAACTTGGTTATCAAGGAACATATGTCCATAGTTAGTGGCAAACAGATGACAAGAAAAATATTGAAAGTACATGTTCGGGGTTGGTAGCGAACACATACGAGAAAGATATCAAAGATATATGCCCGAGTCAGTAGCGAGCATGCAGAAGATATCGAAAAAGGAAGAGACCGAACATAACGGACTCGACCGAAGATATATCAAGGAAGGAAGAAGTCTAACATAACGACTTCAACCAAAGATACCAAAGCAGGAAGAGACTTAACGCAACGGACTCGACCGAGGATATCGAAGATGGAAGAGATCTAACACAGCGATCTCGACCAGGTATATTAAGGAAGGAAGAAGTCTAACACACCGACTTCAACCAAAGATATCAAAGCAGGAAGAGACCTAACACAGCGGACTCGACCGAAGATATCGAAGATGAAAGAGATCTAACACAGTGATCTCAACCAGATATATCAAGGAAGGAAGAAGTTTAACACAACGACTTCAACCAAAGATACCAAAGCAGGAAGAGACCTAACACAGTAGACTCGACCGAGGATATCGAAGATGGAAGAGATCTACACAGCGATATCGACCAGATATATCAAGGAAGGAAGAATTCTAACACAATGACTTCAACCAAAGATATCAAAGCAGGAAGAGACCTAACACAGTGAACTCGACTAAAGATATCGAAGATGGAAGAGATCTAACACAACGATCTCGACCAGATATATCAAGGAAGGAAGAAGTTTAACACAACGACTTTAACCAAAGATATTAAAGCGGTAAGAGACCTAACACAACGGACTTGACCGAAGATATCGAAGATGGAAGAGATCTAACACAGCGATCTCGGCCAGATATATCAAGGAAGGAAGAAGTCTAACACAGTGACTTCAACCAAAGATATCAAAGCAGGAAGACTAACCTTGGATAGACT